ACTATATGCAATACAGAAAATTTATTAAATGAAGAGCCTTTACATAGCTTTCATAAAAGAGTGTATATAACTCTTATCGTCCACTTGCCTCTTCGTTTATCAATTCGTTCATCGCTTCCCAGCAGAATAATGAACTTGGCGTGTCTAATATATTTTCCATCGTGATAGGATTATATGGTTGATGCGCGGAAGATGAACAGACTTTCTGGCCACGATCTCTCTCAGCCAAGCGCGCCCAGGCATATTTTGTCGTAGCAGTAAATTATTCCGTCGGTTTCGCGGCCTCTCTGTGCTCGTCATCATTTTATCTATCAAACACCGCTCATTATGTAATCATGTCAGGTGGAGGAGGCTTCGTTTATGTCATTAGCGATGCGGGTCGACCGGCGTGAACCGGACTCTCGGCAAGGATAGACTTGATTAACTCGCCGCTCATGGAGAGATCTATCGTGCCCTCGAACTTGACACGCGATATGATTCGCGGGAGCGACCATTATCTTTGATTTCTTGATATGTATCGTTTCTCTCGCCAGGAGAAAAGTTCAAACTATATTGTACTTCTTTTCGTTTATTTTAATCAATCTCTTGCCGGTTTTACTTGCGTAAAATTTAAATTAGACGTCTTTTTTTGACACGCAACACACACACACACACAAAATTGGTTTAGACAAAATTTTTTAATAAATTCTCGATATCAAGATTTACCTTATTATTTAATTTCTGTATCTTTTCAGTATAAGATTTATTTATAAATATCATATTAAGTAATTAATTTTATATATCAAAAGATGTGATATTTATAAAAAGTACTTACTTTGGTCATGTTTTTAGTAAGAAAAATTTTGCTTTGAATTTATCAAGAAGATCCATAGATATTAACAAAAAATCTATTAATATTAAAATAGCTTATATAAATTAAAGAAAGTTTAGTATTGGCATTTTGAACTAGATATGAATTTGTAATTTTTCGAATGATAAGGCAATAATTAATCGTCGTTTTAATGCATATTAGATCTTGTTGATTGACTGTAATATAATATTATATTTACGTCGTTACGTCAAAATCTCTCGATATTATAGACACGTAAGATACGTCCAGTAAAAGTTTCTTCGAAATAAACATTTATCTTTGTTCTTGAGTTTTGACAAACTTACGAAATGACAGCTCTGCCGGAACATAAGTACAAGTAAAACTTATGAATTTTACGCAAAAGATATTCGTAGATAAATAATGACAACTGCGTGTAAATGTCTACGTACGTCATCTTCCTTAAGGAAAGACGAATTTTATTTATGCGAAAATATAAGTGATTCTACAATTAATCATTTTTAAGATATATATCTTTGTATATATATGGTGTATTTTACGTAGGACCAATATTGTCATCGTCCATGTCTGACACATAAGAACTGATTACTGTTGTGTTTAATAAATTATAATATGCCAATCTTACCGTAATTTATATCTGGGATTATATCATAGTGTTTATTACACGAGAACTATTATAAATTAGAAAAAATAAAAGAGTCTCACATATTTTAAACAACTAATTGACGAAATATAAATTCTATTTTTTTGAAAATCTTAAATAATATGTTATAATTTTTTTCGTTTTTGGAATATATATTCTATGAAATTAATTTGTACAATCGTTTTTTTACAAATTAAAGCTGTTTTTACTAACATTCATCGATTGATAAACAATGATAAACAATTATATATCAGTAATCATTTCAATATTATTATAACTCAAAATTATTGATATAATAACAATTACTATAATAATGATTTCAAATTTCGTTACCACTGTCGCAAAGTACAGATCTAATTTATGGCCCTTAAAACGTTGATTTTTCAATCTTGTCCCTTTCACGAAGCCAACATGGCGGACGCCTATTTATAGCCAGTGGAGCGAGAGTAAGTGGCACTCGTTCTTGTTGCTTCAATTGTTATCCCTTCCTCCGTTACTTTTCCCCTCCGACCCCGATGACCTGAAACATCCGGGTAAATGGGGCAGAGAGCGAGGCGAGTCAAGAATCGCCCGGTTACACGGGTTATCTCGTCGACATCTTTGGAATAAGGTCACGTTGATAGCTACATGTCTTCTGCGTCGTTTGGTAAACCCATGATGATTGCGCATCGCGTACACGAGCTTCTGTAAAAAAATAGTTGAATAATCAGTTATTTCTGTTTAAACGATGTCCGATCGTGTACATGCCAAGTTTACACTCTCTTAGCTTTAATAAAATATTAGAAATTATGAGTGTAATAATTATGTAGATATAAATTATATATTAAAGCTCAATCAATTTTTTCGGAAATAACATTTTTCGGAATATTTAAAATTTATAAAAAATGATAAGATAAAAAATTTATATAAAAATTATTTCAATATTATCATAATAGCGGAAAAAATTGTAATGTATTGTTTAGAATCTAAAAAAGTATTTACAATATTATTTCTTTTCTTTGGCGCGACAAAATGCGTATATTATCCATATAATGCATGTTATTCAATATCGAAATTCGTGATCGAAAGACGCAAAAAATTGCAACTGCCGGAAGATTAAACTTGAATTTTACATGATAAAATGTAACGCTGCGTATTTCTCGCGTAATTCTTGCATACTTTAATCGACCGAAGTACAAGTGTTATCAAGCTGCGATGTTACGGTTGCTTGCAAAATGGATGCAGCGAACAAGATATGTGGTAGACGCTATCATTGTTCGGGAAAATTGTTTCGCTCTCTGACCGTTAATAAAAACTTTAACGAAAATTTTTAATTTCGAGAGTACTCCTTTATTTATTTTTTAATACATATGCCATTAAAATAATATGTAAATAATTTTTTAAATTAAAGTTTTTTGCTTGGTTCTGTTCCGGACATTATATTTTATAAAATTCGATTTGTTCGAGTTTTTGTTACCGTGAGAAATAACAGTGCGAAACAAAACTGCATAAATAAACAATTTATACTATGTTTTTACAGCAATCACTTGTCGCGCGTTTAGTTACAATGTAAATTAAGGAACATAACGTACTATAGGCAATTTACGCTAGACACTTGATTTACAATGGATGACGTGGTTTGCATATTCTCGCGTGTACCAAAAATAAAAATGATAAATTTGCCGCCTCGTCAGTTTCTTGTTATCACATCGAAGTTAAAGAATATAGTTCCGTCAAAATTGCCGAAGAGGCCAGTGATTTTCTGGCGGTCGAAGTGTGCGCTTGAAGCGAATATTCGCACGAAAATTGATACGATTTGTTCGACATTTCTTGATTTATCGCAGAGTTGACATTAATACGTCGAGATTGTCGAAACAAATTGCGAGTGAATAAATTTATTGTAAGGTAGGCAATATATATTTAGTATTTTTAAACAAACAATCTTCCTTGTAACTTGAAAGAGAAACAACTCGAATTATAATTATTAGACTTAATTCCATTATGCTTCTATATCGAAGCATCGCAAAAATAAGAGTAAAAGAAAAGTATTTCGAGAGAAATGGTTTTGATGATTATTTAAAAGATTTTACTTAGAAGAACGAAAAATTTAATTGAGAATATAATATGAAAACAAATAAGGCCCGTTCGAAAAATCGGTTGATAATTAAAAATTTAACTCGATTTTTAAAAGAATACATAAAAGCACATAAATACAATATATACACGCAATAAAATATGAATGGGAAATTATATCGAACGTATTGTATAATTATATCATCTTGGTTTGTTGTCACAGATGTCACGTTATCTATATTTGCAAATAATATGTGGCTAAGTGCGATGACAAGCTATTGATACGAATATTCCGTATTATCGTTGATAGTTAAACATTGACAATGCAGTTAGATTTCATGTGTGTATATTGTCGATTAAAAACAATGTTGTGTTGTATTTAATCATGTAAATATCATGCTTTCGCGAGTTTACGATATTCGAAACTAATTTCTTTCGTATTTCGTCTCATGGTGTTTAAATTAATATTTCGTAAACTCATCAGTTTTACATCATTGTCTCTGATTTTTCTCTTCTGTTATATTGAATTTAAATGAAAAGTTAAATTTTGAATGGGAAACAAAATTTTCTTTTGCGTCGCTATTGATTGGGAGTATTTATTGTTTTGCAACCTTGCTATTAATCAACAAAATATGAATTTATTAAATATAAATTTATTAATTAAAAAGATGAATTTATTAATTCTGTGACTAAAATGATCTGGTATAATATGCACATGAATATTCGGAACATTACCTGCGCTATTCGTCAGGTCGACGAGCTGCATAGAGCACTTGCCTTAATTATTCTGCCCTCCAGGTACGCTTTGAGTTTCAGCTTCCACGTCAAATTAGTAGCTATACACGATATGTAGCAGATTGATTCAATTATTCCATCGCTACAATTTACTGAGAATGAATCTTCATGTGATTTTGCACTCTGATCGTTCATCATAGTTGATGGAAAGATCGATCTGTCGATGCGAGGAAGCTATCTTTCTCTTCACAGAATTTGTTGAAGTGTGAACGAGATTAAGCTTGATCGTTGGAAAAAGGATAACGAAAAGTGTGGTGCAAGTTTTATAAAAAACTATTTTTAATATAAAGTCATATTTAAAGTGAAATCTATGGATTATGGACTTAATGCACCCAGATATTTTTTTTTAATTATATGTATATTTAATCATGTTATGATTAATTAAGATTAATAATTATAGTGTATTCTTAAGAGCGTATTGGCGAAAGATAATCAAGCGGCTCAGTGGTCTAGGGGTATGATTCTCGCTTTGGGTGCGAGAGGTCCCGGGTTCAAATCCCGGCTGAGCCCAAAATTTTTTTTCTTTTTTTTATCTTCTCTTTCATATATATCTTTTACTTAAAATTTTACACATAAAGAGAGTGTGTCCTATCTGATTCGATTGGTGATCACTCATCCGCGCATTTTTCGCCGGAAAGTCTTTATTACAGCTACTGTAATTAGTCACGCTTATTGTTGCAGGACCGGCAGTATGGCGGTCGAAGAGGGGATGCTGGGCGGTGGCCTGGGCGCAAAATTAAAATGCCCGACTCCAATATCGCGGTTGAGGGTGGAAAAGATCGAGGGCGGTCTGATGGTCGCCGGCGTAGTAATAGCGGCGAACTGCCAGATCGCACTTCCGGCATTCGGTACCCTCTTCATGCTCGTCGGCGCCGTACTCACTGGTTCGTATTTCCGGTTTTTATCATTTAAAATTGCTTCTTTTTTTTAGTTACATAAATATAAATTTTATGCAAATTCATATACGCAGAAAGTGCGGTTAAAAAGGATATATTTATCGCGAAACTGATATGCATATTATAAGAAGAAGATGGCTTTAGAATCGTTACAAATCTTGTATTTTTAAAAATGCATTCTATGTCAACCTGACAACGTTTCTCCTGACATTATTATATACTTTTTTACATAACAAATTGCATGTTTCTGTAGATTCTGTGTTATATGTTTCCTCTCTGAAATCACATACCCGTATTCTTGGCACATTTGACGCGAAAATGTTACTGGGAAAATAAAACATTAAACAGACAGTCATTAAAAATGCGGCGGAAATATAATTTCATCAGAGAATGCTATACATGTCAAATAAATGTGACAAATATATTTGTATTTTATGGTGAGTATTTTTCCAAGGTTTCGCACCGCGAGGCTTTTGATTATGCCACATTATTTCATTTTTACAATTACAAATACATTTATATAAATTGCGGTTTTGCAAAAGTACACAATGTATCAAACAATGATGACATCGGGCAAGTGAATCTCATGAATATTCACCGATTCTTGTTTTTATCGCATTATTATCTTAAAACGCATTGTTCACACATCCACATTTGCATCTCGTGAACGATTCGCAAAAGTCGCGGAAGCACAATTTCAATTGGTTCGAATAACAATGAGAATCACAAGCTTTTGATTTCATCGAATTTCATCAAATCTCACAGACAAAAAAACATTCTCTCATTTTGAAATATATATTCTATTAAAAATATCTCTCATTTTAAATTATTCTATTATTCGTGATTTTAAAAATATGTAATTTTTCACAATAACGATCGCATGAGTATATATATAGCAATTTTGAATTTCTGCTTATCTTCTTCTTTATCTTGATGCTTGTCCGAGTATTCTAATATAGAAATGCGTCATGGCGTGATTAGTTGTAAGCATAATCTCAAGCTTTCCATTTCGGAGAAAGCATAGGCTTCATAATCGCATGTGGGTCGCGCTTAAAAAGAAGAATCGGCATTTATTTCGGAACGAGATATCACGATGATTAACGTTTACGAGAAAGTGCGTCTCGCGCGTTCTTGTTTAGCGATATACTCTAGACTTTTTATTATTTGCTTTAGCAATATCCGCTATATATACATGGAATACTATTATCGCTTTTCTTGTTTATGAAATATGGGCGGACGGATTTGATAACGTTTTTTTGTGAATACTATTTGAACATTATTAGAGAACTACAGATTTTTTATTTTTTAAGAGTAAAATTAATAATATTTAATATTATACGGAAAAAATTAAGTTTATTCATCAAAATATATTTTAGTTTTTAATATTAAATAACTTTTGAAAAATATTTTAAAGATTTCACAATTTTTTGATCCAAAACTAGAAATCTTTTATATATATATTCATGATAATGATAGATGAATAGTATAAATATAAAGCTAAAATTAAATGAAAAGGAATCGATGTTTTGAACCACAGCTTACATGACTATCAACACGTGATGTTGATAACACAGACGTAACCAAGAGATAACTGTCAAGCCAATATTCTTCGTTGTTACATACTAATGACTGAAGCCTTCGCTTACATACTATAAACGGATTAATAGAAAAGGAAGCCATATTCAACAAGCCGAAGCAGTAGTAAAGTTGCGCGAAAATACTTGAAATATCGCAAACACATTTAAATTGTAAATTATTTGATTGTAATTTCTAATAAATTACGTCATAGCTATATAAAGTTTGTTCTGCTTCTACTATGTTTTTGAAAATTTTGATATCAATATTAATATATATTATTAGACAATAATTTCATGAAACCAAGAGAGAAATCTCGGAAATCTTTTTCGTAAATAAAGATATATTAATATGAATTTATATTAATTTGTTATATATTATATTATATTACTTTTTATATATTACACATTATTTTATATATTAATCTTATTAATATCCAGAAACAACATGCGTGAGTCAATCGATTGATTTTAAACTTCACGGAATTTAAAAAGTGAATTTCAATATTTATTGAATATTAATAAATGCTAATATATTAATACGCGGAAGATTTTCAAGGCTTCTCTCTCTCTTTTCGAAGGCGAAAGATCGCTTGCCGTTCTTTCTCGTTGAATTAATTTATGAGGCGCTACAATCCATGTGCGTCGGGACGCTGACCTCGGAGCACCATAGATATAGCTTTCGTATCATAAAAAAGAAAAAGCGGAAGAAAAAGAGCAAGAAGGCTTGGACTGTTCGCCAAGCAACAGCTGGCTGCTCGCATCGCGCACTCTGTCACTTCTCGGCCACGCTTCTTCATATATACGGGATGCCGAGTGTTGTTACCAACCGATTTTATCAAAACCGGTCTGTCCCTCCCTTTTTATCCTCCTTTTTTCCTGCCGTCAACGCGTCAAGACCGGTCCTGTAGCCCATTTCCCTTTCGTTGTTTCTCTAGGCGTCTCTCTTCCTCTCGGACACTCTAGATATCCCTCTAGGCTCATCGCTTACTCATGCTGCGTTAATGTCTTTGTTACGTTTATCGTGTCTGAGTCGAGTCTTTTTTGATAGTCAAGTGGAACGGAGGATTTTATTTTTGATTATGGGAAAAATCGATCTTACGGACTGAATGGATCGTAAGATACTGTTGAGAATCTTGCGGATGTGATACATATTTATTCATGCCTGCCTTTTCTTTTGAAATGCGTAATTTTTTAAATCGCTTTTTACATTATTTCACATATTACTTTCACTATACTTTTAAAATGCAATTTTCGTACAGCGATTTTCTTTCTCAAGAAATTTCTTGTTACTATAATGATAGTACAAAAAAAAGATATAAAGAAAAAAAGAATTAATATTCATATACAGGGAATTTCAGATAAATTTGTATTTGTGTTATTTTATTCTCATAATTATTTTATTTATTTTACTTAATTATTTTATTTATTTTACTCACATTATTGTATTTATGTAGTAATTTGTTTGTTTTATCTCTAAAAAAAAAAAAAATGATGAGATATTTATCGAATTTGCCGATTGTTTATGAAGCGTTTTGCTGGCGTTATCGATTAAAATATGCTTGGAGGCAAACCCTTCATGGCGAATGTATTTATGTTCATAATTTCTGCTGCTCGTTTACAGATGAACATTTTCTCTTTAAATATGCCTCAACATTCTCACTTGACGATTAGCGAAAGTAATACAGGTGTCATTACATTCTTAAAGAATTTTCCTTTGGACACATAAAATTTTTTGCTAGAGAAGTTTATGCATTTGCATATCAATATGCATAGTAATGCGAATGTGTTCGAACCTCGTCGGACCAACGATTACGGAACTTTACGGAATACGAAACGATTCCGCGGTATTGTACGAGAAACACGCAAAGAGAACATAAAGCCTTATCCGCTAAACTCTGAGCTTTACTTTCGCGAAAGTCGAGTGCAATGTGGCCGAGATTGTGTTTGAATAACCTAGATCGTTTAATCACTCTCTCATTGTTAACAACTATCATCTTTTAAGAGCGCATTTAACAATAGAGGAACAAAAGCAGATTATTTTTAATTGTGAATATTGCGTAAATTGTTAATAAGATTAAAATGTACTTTTACGCGAGAATTTATGTCGTTTCTGCTAAAAATACTTCGTCTACTCGAAAATGTGAAAAATAATTGCTCGAAAAATATTAGAGAATATTTTTAAAAAAGAATTTTGTACGTGATAATTAGGTATATGATAATCAATTTTTGCGATTAATTTTAAATTGCTTTTTATTTGTTGCAGCTGCGTCTTATCGCGGTCCCGGTGAGGACGAGGATAAGAATTCGTATGCCGCGCGCATCGCCTTTACTGGCAATTCCCGTATCTTGGGGCCGATTTGCATAGTTGTGGGCGCCCTTATGCTTGCCCTTGGCGTCCTGCTCTGCATGCTTACAAGACGCGCCAGACGAAGGGAACGCAGAGTGGGCTTCCATTGCCCGCTTCACGGGGATTTCTACCCTCTTAGTCCAGTTCAGGGTATCAAGATGTTTGGTGAGTCGATCTCAATTATGTTACTCGGTCTTTAACACTTTCTGCGTAAATCAGTGTTTTCTAAACTATAGAAGGAAAAGAAAATTTTAGATTAAATCGATTATTTAGTCGATTAATCTGAATTTATGTGATATTATATCGCAATTTGATTTGGAAGAAAAATCGCGACCTCAATTTACGATTAGTCAAAATTCTTTGTTTTCAGTTTGGCTTAATCTCGTATCTTTCGCGTATTATTATTTTTGAACAATCTATAAATTCATTTTTATTTTATTAATAACCCCCATTGTTTATTCAATATTCTTATCATTTTTATTTTAATACTTGCTTAATAAGATTACATTCTATTAAAAATTCTTCCGTTATTTGCTTTTGCCATTATCGCCAATATATCGACACGCTTCTAAAAGCAAAATACGTAAGTATGATTCTCACTATCGCGTGAGAATCGAAACTTGTTTCGCGTTTTTTCAGAACTTACTTGCTATGTATGCGATCATTTGATGTATGCAATTATTCCTTCGTATCCGTACATAAACGCGCCTGCAATTTCGATGATACGTTTTCAAAGAACGGAATAGCCGCTAAAATGCTTCTCGAGAAGATCTCGACATTGCTCTCCAGACAGTATCGCCGGTCATTATCGTTATGTCACGCGATGCTATTACACTTTTTACAGATATTCTTTCAAAGTTGTAGTTAAGTGGTATATATCTCCTTTGTGCAAAGATCGTGCGTTGTCAGGCCATATTACAATCGCAATAGTTAGCGTTAAAATGTCTCTCGTCGGCAATTGGCCGACTTGTTTAAATCACCGCTCTTGATGATTATTTGTCCTGACTTTGTTAGCGATATCATTTTGGTTACTTAAATCTCTGTAAATATTTCTGGAAGCAAGTAACATATCAATTATACTGCGACAACTAATTTGATAGACCGTGATAAAATGGATTTATGAGGTATTCCGGCATTTTATGACTTCGACGCTACGTCTTCGGTACCGTCTTAGAAAACCTATCAGTTCGTGTTGTCTTATTATCGCGAGCGTGCCAGGTCGTATCAATTGATTCGAATTCAGGACGAGGCTGGATTAGGCGAGGAGTAGGGTAGCTAACTAGATTGTCGGAATTTAGGCTAATACAACTCTATCAGATTATTGCGTAGGTAGGTTGCGCGCATCGCGAATCCTACAAGTTTCCGTGTTCGAGAGATCGAGAGATCGCTTTGAATCGCATGATAGTAAATTCTTAGCAAGAGATAAGTTTTTTATTTTCAGTTTTTTACTTTCGGGCTCGAAGAATTGCGAGAAGGGCAATAGGGATTTTGAAAGTTATCGGTCGCCGGCTCCGCGTAGAGTAAAATTTAGTACGAAATATATCAGAATGTTAGATTATCGGTTTGGCGGAGAAACGAACAATTTTTGATGGTCAAATATTGAACGCGCATGGAGTCAGTTATTTTTCGATAGGATGGGTATATATACAGGGTGCGGCATTTATAGTGACGCGGGCATATTTTTCGGAAATGAAGTGAGATATCAAAAAATGTTTCAGACAAAAGTTGCATGGTTTCGAGGGGGCCACATGATAAAAATATGGATTTGACCTTAAGTGGTCTTTTCAAGGTGAGGTCAATGTGGTCGATGTTCTCTTAAATGGAACACCCCATTTTTTATTACATATTCTTGTACCTTACCTCGAGAGCTTTCCAAAACATTATAATAAAGTATTTTTTTATTAAGTACTTTTTGAGTTATTTTATATTTTAATCTGACATATTTTGATATAAAAAATAAAATATCTCGTAAAATATTTAGTTTTCGATAATCTTACCGTAATACTTTTATGTACAGAATAATGAGACAAATCAATAAGTAAAAAAAAATAATTGTTTTTAAGAAAAAGTATGTAATTATTTATCTCACTTCGTTTCCGAAAAATATGCCCGCGTCACTATAAATGCCGCACCCTGTATACATATATATTGCGAGTAAAGCTAAAATTTTTCCAGGCTCGGAGGAAAGCAGCGCGATATAAAAAATTCAGAATGCTCTGGGAGAATTTAGAGCTTGCACTGGCTACATTTTGATAGGAGACACGAATTCCTCAGAGAATTGTTGCTGCAACGATCGCATGTTGACAGTTGCTGTTGCGGGTAGGAACTCGACGGTGCAACGGTAATAAAAAATGCAAGGTAGCTAGTCTGTTTACGTACGAATATCCCTCGCTAAGCACGAAGCAACCTAACGTTCTTCATATATAAACTAGTAAAGTTAAATAGAATTTTAAAATACATTTTTATAGAAAATAAAATTTTATTTTATTATTGGAAAGTAATATGTTTGTTAAAATGCAGTATTTATATTTTCTTTCTTTCTAAATAAAATATACATATAAATATATAAGTATTAAATACAAAATATATGTATATGTTTTATTTGGAAAATATAAGTGCTAGAAATTTATATTTAAAATATTTCGGTATTAAATATACATATCAACTTCATGAATAATTTAAAGAAAAATGATTTGAAATTTGATTGGATTTACTTTCATAAATCTTTTCACGTACACACGTGCGTTCTTACTTACTTTACGGTAGTACACGTTTTTCCACTCGACGATTTATTTGAATCGCAAGGAACTTGACTGATTGCCTAGTCGCAATTTCTTTCGCGGCGTAGCAATAAGATCTTATTAGAGTCGAAGGTCATTTTTGCATACTCTCGCGGAACATTTCGCACCGTGATTCATCGCGGCTCAACTGCAGTTTTTAAGCTTCGTCGATGCGCGAAACCTAGGAAGTCCTATTATTCCGGTGACGCAAAACAATCCGATAATTCGTAGTTTGTTTTGCGGGGATTTCTCATTCTATGACATGTCGCTTATCGCGATAAAATATGAGCGATGGAAAATGTATAGGGTGGGGCAAACGTGCCTGACCATTCTCTCAGATTCGATCGTTCTTTTTGCATTGTAAACAGAGCTCGCTAAATAAAAACGAAGTACCATATATATCAACGATACATCACCGAGAGCATGGATTACAATTCTGTTAATTGAATACAAACATTTGGACACAGTTGGAGATGCAAAGTTCGCTAATGACATTTGCATTTCACAAGAATGCGTCAGTATTCACGGGATTATGAAAATGATCACGTTAAAGAAACAAAATTATTATTGATAATTGAAGATCTTTCCGCGTTTTACGCATCGTGCGATCGTATAATATAATTTTTTTCGCATAACTTCTTCAATATTGACATTTTTTATTACGAGATTTTATTAATTTTTTTTCCCCAGATGATATTTACTTAATTTTAAAATTACGGTTTTGTTGCACTTTTTAAATTATTTATCACCATTGTTTAACACAATTTCGATTTTATGCGACGAACTTTTCAAATCCTTTTTTCAATATTGTTTTCTTCTTTAATCTGGATTTTATCACTCAGTTATGATAGAGATAATCCACTCTGTCGATTACGTTGACAGTGAGCGGATAAAGATGCATCTAGAAAAGATGTTTTAGTTAACATCATGTTTATAAAAGGACGTTTTGAGAAGGATTGATTTCACAGCGAGGATCTTCTCGACCGTTTCTCGTCGCGCAAAATTTCGAGAAAAAAAATATACAGGATTGAGCATGCACATTTCAGTTCCATCCATTTAATATTAATCCGAATGAATCGTTACTATCCTTCTTTTTCTCTAGTTTTCTCTCCTTGTGCATTTGCCGATTCAAATGCGTTCCTTTTCATGCAATTTCCGTTTCTCAGCGGCACATCCAGAGCATCGTTCATAAATATCTCATTGCGTATACATATACGCCGAAAGAGTATCTTTAGTCTATTTTACCAAGGACGAATTCTCGTCTCCTTCTTTTTCTATGGTAAGATACTCCCTTTGTGCGGCCTCTGCAAGACATCATTTTCCAGAAATTTCATACCAACTATGGCCGCAATGTTCTCGTTCAAGTACTCGAGGCAAGTACATACAAACAAGTTGTTTCAAGAAGATGAAAGTGTTTTATGATATCTAGTTTCCAGAGAAAGGAATACGTATACTTTTCAGATTGCTGAAAGACATACGAAAAGAGAAAAAGAAAAAAATCAACTAAAAAAAAATATTGACAAAACTTGATATTTCATGATTTATTTTACACTAATTAACGATTTCTGAATGTATTACGACGTGTTTGGTCGCGGAACAAGATAATAATAATTTTATTGAAGATTTAAAAATTAAAATGTTTTTGCATAAAAATTAAAATATATACGACAAAAAATGGCAATAGTTTAAATTTTATTGCGGAATATTTTCTTCTCTCTCTTGTAATATTTTCTACAAAATTTTTGAGAAAGAAGAAAGAAAAACTAGTCAATTTATGTAATATATATGATATGAAACATAGAAGATAACGATTTACTTTATTGCCAATTTTTCAACAAATTGCGCTCTACGAACTTCTTTTCCTACCAATCCATTGATTGGCTTTTCTAGATTTGAATTATACAGCAATACCTTTTTTTTCAAATAAGTACCTACGTTTGATTTGTTTGAAAAATAACATTAGATATTGCGTTTGGAATCAATCTTAAGAATTCCGACGACGACCGCTCGTCAGAAGTACAACCTCCCTCTTTGCGAAAACGATTGCACCAAAGTTTCCGCTTTACGACAAAACGATGAAATTATGTCTGGCTTTGCGAAGCATGGATAAATACAGGTTGTCTCACGAACTCGCGGACGGAGTCGCACAAAAACACAAGTAAGGATGTTTTGCCTGGATGTAGACAATTAGGGTGGTGGCATGGAAAGCGTGACCGGCGGTACGCTTTTAAAAATCTCGCCGCGAATAATACCGGTTTGACTAAGAATATCATATGAATTCCGATTTTAGAATCTTTAAATCATGAAATAAATATTAATATGAATGATAATGAGAAACAATATTTTACTAATTTTTTTTATAACGAGTTTGTTGATATTTTGCTC